GATCGATACAAAGCTCGATTGGTTGTTCTTGGTAACAAACAAGAGTACGGGGTGGACTATGAGGAGGCTTTTGCACCCGTAGCAAAAATGACTACGGTGCGAACTATTATTGCCATTGCTGCTTCACAAAACTGGTCTCTTTATGAAATGGATGTCAAAGGTGCTTTTCTCCATGGTGATCTCAAAGAAGATATTTATATGAAACCTCAGATGGTTTGTTTACATCGCCTATATCAGATGTTGAAAGTTGAAGTGGTATTTGTATGGATTATTTGATAAGTTCCGGTCTACTTTGCTACAATTTTCTTTTGAACAAAGCAAATATGACTCATCTTTGTTTCTTCGGAAAACATCTACAGGTTATGTTCTTCTTTTGGTGTATGTAGATGACATTATTATCACAGGAACCGATTCTTTACTAATCACTAGCCTCCAACAGCAGCTTAAAGATTCTTTTCATATGAAAGATCTTGGTACTCTTACATATTTTTTGGGCTTGGAAGTTCATAATGTTGCTTCAGGTGTGTTTCTAAACCAACACAACTATACTCAGGATCTGATTTCTTTGGCTGGTATTCAAGATTCCTCCTCTGTAGATACTCCATTGGAATTGAATGTGAAGTATCGTCGTGAGGAAGACGATCTTCTTCCTGATCCAACTATGTTTCGACAATTAGTTGGGAGTCTAAATTACCTTACTATTACTCGAACTGATATCTCTTTTACAGTTCAACAAGTTAGTCAATTTATGCAAGCTCCCCGTCATCTCCACTCGATGGTTGTTCGTCGCATCATTTGGTATCTTCTAGGAACATCTACTCATGGATTGTTCTCTCCAAGTGGTTCTCCTATTCATCTTAATGTTTTTAGTGATTCTGACTAGGCGGGATGTCCCGATACTCGTCGTTTAGTCACTGGTTGGTGAATGTTTCTTGGAGAGTCATTGATATCTTGGAAGAGTAAAAGAAAGATCGTGTGTCAAAATCTTCAACAGAGGTTGAATATCAATCCATGTCTATTGCTTTGCTCCGAGGTTGTATGGCTTCGTGGATTACTTGCTAAGATTGGATTTCCTCAATCTCATCCTACTCCTCTCCATGTTGATAATACAAGTGCTATTCAGATTGCTACTAATCCAGTTTTTCATGAGAGGACCAAACACATCGAAGTAGATTGTCATTATATACGAGAAGTTGTAGATAAAGGAATCGTTACTCTTCCACATGTGTCCAGTGATCTTCAAATAGCTGATGCGTTTACAAAATTCATGGCACGGCAACGCCATTAGTTTCTAGTAGGCAAATTGATGCTTCTTGATCCACCAGCATCAATTTGAGGGGGGATGTTAGCATGATGGATATCTAAATAATTGTATATATTAATGTAATTATATAGTGATATAAATTAGCATGATAATATAGATTTGTTGTAGAATCAAAGAAATAAATATTGTGATGGAATAGCTGATTTGGAGGGATAGCAAAGCAGATTTAGAGGGATTGCAGATTTAGAGAGATAGAATAGCTGATCTTTAGGGATATGAATGACGGATCTTTAGGGATGTGTAATCTTTATTCTCTCTATATAATGGAAAGACTCTCACTTTGAGAGGCATTCAGTAGAAAATTGAAAGGGAACACCTCTACTGTGCCGCCCGAATAAAGCAGGACTCTATGAATGGCCATCACTATCTTGACCAAACATCAACTTCACCATTGTTGGACCTCCCTACATCTGTGGTATCGAAGATTGGGACACCCCCATTCTTGAGTTTTATTTTCCATTTTATGTAATTCATGTATTTCATATTCTTCCAAGGACAAGTTCAGTTTTTGTACACAGATTTCCATTTTCTTCCAACACTTTGTCCAGCAGCTTTCCATTAGAAATAATTTACAGTGATCTGTGGGGGCCATCCTATGTTCTCTCTATTGATAAAAAGCGATACTATTGTCTCTTTGTTGATCAGTTCACCAGATACATTTGGTTGTACACAATGAAAAACAAACATGAGGTTCAAAAACACTTTCAAAGCTTACATCCCGTGCTTGAAAAACATTTTGGTCACAAAATACTCACAATTTACACTGATGGAGGCGGAGAATATCAGACCATGGAACCATACCTTCATTCCAATGGCATACAACACCTTGTTTCTCCTTCTCACACTCCTGTCGCCCTGGCTGAAAGACGTCATCGACACTTTATTGAGACAGTCAAAACGTTGCTTCACCAAGCAAATTTACCCTCCGATTTTTGGACATTTGCCTGCAATCATGCTGCCTTTCTCATAAACCGACTGCCCACCACCACTCTTGATAATAAGTCCCCATTCGAAGTTCTTTTCAAAGAGGCACCCGCTTATGAATCTCTTCCTACATTTGGCTGTCTATGCTACCCATGGCTCCGACCATATGCTCAACATAAATTAGAGCCGTATTCCAAACCTTGTGCCTATCTCAGTTCTTCGGTCACCCATTATTGTCATCAGTGTTTTGAACCTACAAGCTCCAAACTTTTTTCTCTCACGGAATGTAAAATTTTTCGAGGATATTTTCCCTTTTGCTACTATGTTCTCACTTAAAACAAAAGTTATCATATTTAAACTGGGAGTATAATTTAAACAAAAACAATTCAAGTCTGGATATTACTTCCAACACCACTACTCCAGATCACACGCTACTTCCCCCCACCATTCCATTGATGCGAGATACACGCCAAGATGATTGATCACTTCGTGTTGCACCGAGGAACAAACCACAGTCAGATCATTTCACCACTCCTGCTCCAGGTAATCTTCACACTACTTCCCTCTCCCCTGACTTCCATCAGATTTCCCCTATTGTAGATTCCCTACCATCCCACTTCATATTTCAAAGCCACCCCTCTGCTCGTCCTCTCACATTACATCACCGATTACTCATGTTTATTGGCGTCGCTCCAACTCATCACCCCATATACCGACCCAATCCCTCACCTCTCACAGAGGTGTGCACAGTTGCAGTCTCGCTTTGCCTCCCCCCACTGAAAACGTAGCTCCAATTCCACCTATAGAGCACAATCGTGCAGTAACAAGGTCGCAAAACAACATCATCAAGCGGCGCAAAATTGTTGACTACACTGCCCACATAACCCAAACTGTACCAATTCTACCTGTCACTCAAAAACAAGCACAAAAGTTCCCATATTGGAGAGATGCTATGCAGCTTGAGTTTGATGCACTGATAAAGAATCATTCTTGGGAGTTGGTTCCGCCAGACCTCACCAGGAATGTCGTTCCCTGTGAATGGTTGTTTCGAATTAAAACTAAGTCTGATGGATCCATTAATAAGTACAAAGCACGTTTGGTTGCAAAAAGGTTCACCCAAAGGCCTGGGTTGATTTTCATAAAACATACAGTCCAGTGGTTAAACCCACCACAATTCGGATTGTCCTCACCCTTGCTGTATAGAACAATTGGGCATTGCATCAAATCGATGTCAATAATGCTTTTCTTCAAGGGAAGCTTCAGGAAGATGTGTATATGACTCAACCACCCGGATATGAAAATTCAGCGCATCCTGACAATGTCTGCCATCTCAAAAAGGCTATCTACTGCCTGCTACAAGCTCCCAAAGCCTGGTATGATGCACTTACTGATTCTTTGATCCAGATGGGGTTCAAGATGTCTGAGTCTGATAATTCTCTCTTTGTTCTGCATAATTTGGGCGTAACTATTTATATCCTTATATATTTGGATGACATCATACTCACGGGCAGCAATGAAACACTCCTTCAACAAGTCATTACCTCTCTTTCCAAAAAAAATTCTCTTAAATACCTTGTCTTTCTGCACTATCTCTTGGGCATTGAGGTACGCAGCCGCAGGGATGTTAACGGTTTGTTTCTCAGTCAATCTAAGTATATACAGGAGGTGCTACATGACACTCAAATGCACGACTGCAAAGGAATTCAGTCTCCAATGAGTACGTCAGTGGCACTACTGGTAGATGACGGAGCCCCCAACACTGATGGAAAAGAGTATATGAGTGTACTTGGTAAGCTTCAGTACCTTTCTTTTACACGGTCTGACATCACATATTCAGTAAACAAGCTCACTCAGTTCAACACCTGTCCCTATGTGGTTCACTGGAAGGCAGTTAAACGTATCCTTCGGTATCTTAAAGAAGCATCCCACCATGGTATTCATATATCTCCGCAGCAGTCCACTAATCTCTATGCCTATGCAGATGCCGATTGGGCAGGTGATACTAATGACCGCCGCTCCATCTCTGGTCACATTGTTTTTCTCAGCTCGACTCCTAGTTCCTGGTCTTCTCATAAGCAACCTACTGTCTCCCACTCCTCCACTGAGGTTGAGTATCAGGTTGTTGCCTCTGCCTTGTCTGAAATGAACTGGATCACTCACTTGCTCAAGGATCTTCATGTCCCGCTCTCTGCTGCTCCAATAACTCTTTGTGATAACCTTGGCGTCACATACATTGCTGAAAACCAGGTCCATCATACAAAAATGAAGCACCTCGAGGTTGATCTTCACTTTGTTCGCCACCAGGTCCGCAATGGTCTGGTCAGAGTTTCCCACATTCACTCCACTGATCAAATTGCAGATCCGCTCACCAAACCATTGTCTAAGGCAGCCTTCCAGCGGATGCTTCCCAAGTTAGGTGTTGTCTCTTTACACCTAACTTGAGGGGGGCATAACAGAGCACGTACCATTGTGGTAAATATGGATAAGTCATGTTCAGTCAATTTAGACTTTAAGTTTGTAAAGTTTATTATTCAGTTAGTGTAGGTCACGTAAGTTTATCTGTTCCTATTTTCTAGGCATTAGGTTAGCACGATCTGTTTTGTTAGTGCTGTATAAAAACTCCATTGGAGGCTCATTAATAAACATACAATTTCATTCTACTTCTGTGAATTTATAAATCCTTCCTAGAATATAACACCGACGTGCATCAACATAAGCAGATAAAGCCAAAAAGAAAACAATGATATGAAACCTGTGCAGGAAATCGTGTTCTTTCATCACCATCATTTTTCCAAGCATATGGATTGATTAGCATTTGACCAGAGCTTGCAGCCTCAAAGATTCCGTGGAGCTTCTTATCGTCGTAGTTGAACAAGAACACTGGCAAACCAGGATTTACATTTTTCACATATATAAAGTGTGCGCTAGGCAAACCTGTCAAAGATTTTAAAATGTATATAATTGAGTAACAGCAACCCATTGTCCTAATTATTATTTTTTATCAAAGGACAATATATTAGGGCCGAATAACTGACCTACTAGTTGCTTTTCGAGACACTCTCTTATTGTAGTATTTTTGCACCCAAATATAACACCGCCTAGTTGATCTCTTGGCAGATTTCTAAAAGCTTTACCATCTTTTGGCTGGAATGGTGATGCCGGTGCTGAATTACTATGTGTGAAGGTTTGTGTTTTTTTCTTTTCCCACATCCTGAAAAATCCATATGGACAGAACTAAATCATCAGGAACTGTAAAAGAGCCATGAAAACATTATACAGTACTAATTAGCAATTCAGCAGTCTAAGCCAACCACATTAGGAACTCTTAAACAGAGAGTCTTTAGTTTCCTCAGTCACCAACACACCCAGAAAACTAAATAAAGAAAAAATAACTGCATACTCATTTTTCACCATGCAAATGTGTTGATCTACAGTGGTTCTCATTCAGTTTCTAAATATTCACATCAATAGCTAAATGTATTTGATACAGCTCAAGATGAATCAAAATCCTACCACTTAAACACTAAAATCAAACAAGGAAAACTTTCACAGAGACTAAAATCGCTCAGCAAAAAGTACAGAGGAATCACATCAAATGCTTGATCAATTACAAGTCCATAAATACAAGGATATTTAACATCGCAAGACAATCACAGTAGCAAAACAAAATGAACAATTTTCTTGCTCAACAAGAGAGTAATTTAGCTACCAAATCGATGATCAGACGGTTATCTGAACCAAATATACCTATAAAATCAACTTCAATTGTATCTTACAGTGACAACTGGAGAAGAAAAGGGAAAATTACCTGAGAGAATTTTCACTTTTAAATGGAAGAAGAAAACTGTTATAACTAAAAGAGGCGCGAATTTGCACTCCCAAGTACTTGATAAAACAAACTAACACACCCAACTGACCAAGTGTACTTTTTTTTTTTTTACTTTCTTATGTTATATTTTACTTTTTTTGAAAATATTCTACAATTTATATTTCACATTTTGAAACTTTATGGAACTTACTTTAAGAATTCAAATTTATTTGATTATTTTAAATTTGAAAATTTAAATGATTTTTCTTTTTATTCAATTGAAAATACTTTCTTTTTGTACCGAACACACCCTAAAAGTAAATAAATAGTCAAAGTTTCAAACTTGAGTTCTTGGTGAATTCAGTTATATCAATTAGCTATGATATGCTTAGTGAATACAACACATGGTAAGTAAACATATGATATGACAATTGTTACCACAGACAAAAGGCAGACACCGGATTTTAAGGATGACATTTGATATTCGGTTTGATATTTCTAAAATTCAATTTTAATAACTAAAACTAAATAACAAATACCCGACTTTCAAAGCTCAATCCGGCACAACAATTAGGTAATTCGATTTCAGGTAGGAGTGGGAGTTGGGTGTTTGTGCCATTCAAATTGGACATGAAAATTTCAGTTTGGATATATCATTTTTTTATTGAAGAAATTACAATACAAATAAGCTTTGATTGAATTAGATTTTTTAAGTTAGATTTTGGATTAGTCGACTTGAACATTTCATATTTTTTTTATTTTGACTTTTGAGCCTTTAAGGCAAGCTATAACAATTAACAACTTCAATTATGTTATAAATTCATTGAACTAAGTGGATTGTCCATATTGAGTTTATCCATAAACATATGCTTATCATCTATGTGTATTCCCTAGGTTCTATGAACCTTTTTTGGATAAGAATGTATCTATTTATTATGATACTTAATATGGTGACTTTTGGAATGATTTCTCAACCTATAAATAGGGTTGTTCATTCACTATTAATACACACATGAGAGACAAGAAGACATTTGAATAAGATGATATGTACATTCTACTCCCCATATCTTTTGTCTATATTATTTGTAGTATATTGCTTATATTTTATAACACGTTATCAGCATGAGACTCTAGCCAATTGAGATTGAGTTTTAGTTTTTTCTTTCGCTCATGTTTTGATTGATCTCGTTATGAGAATCAAGAAGGAAAAATGATAACTACTGGAATCAAGGTATAATATGCATAAAATCATGTATGTATTTTCTAGAATCTTTTTATGATTTAGAATACAATAGTGTTCGGTCACTAACATTATCCAGGAACCAAAGACATACACTACTACTGATTGAATATGCTCTACAAAATTCCTTAAATGGAAGAAGGTATAAAGTTTTAGTAGCATGAGTTTGAATATTATTTTGATTTTTTTGAAAGACTCAAAGGGTGAGTCATGTTACCGTTAGTTAAGGGTAAGACGGTGGATTCAAGTCCCATCGCACCAAAAACTTCGGATGCACCATAATGAAAAATGTTTGAGGGTAAGACGATAGATTCATGTTCTATCGCACCAAGAGGGTAAGGCATCAATTTGAGTTTTGATGCACCATGATGATAAAGATTGGGTTCAAGTCCCATAGAATTATGGCTTAACACGCCTTATATGGGTAAGATTGAGTTTGAGTCAATTCACCATAGTGATTATATAATGATGACTAAGGCTTTGATAAAAACCCATGAAATTCGTCTCATTGAATTTGCTCCATACATTGAAGCGAATGTGGTAGCAATACATGATAAATTTGAAATCCGCCAAATTGCTCCATTCTATCACATGAATATGGTAGCAGTGAATAATAAGTTTGAAATATGACAAGTGATTGAATGTATGAATAAGGGCGTGGATGGACAAAATTATAATAGTCATTATTGTGGTAATTATGAAAGGAATAACATTGTGGGTTCTCCAAATAGGCCTTCAAAATGTGAAGGTAATTCTTATCATCATAATGGTATGAAAGGTCATTGGACCAGTGGTTGTTGTGCGACCTAACAATATAAAAATCCTCCATTAAAAGAAAGGAAGATAAAGTGGTGGTACACTTGACCTTTCAAAGTGATGTTGAGGTGGGTCATGCAAAAATGATAAATTTTAAAGGCATGACAATGTGCTTATAATACAAATTTATGAAGCACATATAAATGATTAGTCCAATTCTTGAAGAGAATGTGACGTGTGATAAGCATCGTGAATGCTCGACCATTCTGAAAGTGAATGGGTCAAGATGTGATAAAATCATTATGGGTTGGATATATGACCTCTATGGGAGGTTTGAGAAAAATGATATATGTCACAACTCACCTCTACGGGATGTTTGAGAAAAACAAAGATACGTTGGCATGATCGGTTGGTCATTCCGATTTAAATGTAATGCAAAAGTAATTGAAAATTCATGTGGCTTATATGATGAAGAAATAAAAGATTTTTCAAGAATTATCTTGTGTTGCTTGTTCTCATGATAAAATGATCATTGTATCATTGTACCGTCTAAGGTTGGGATTGTATTCTCTGAGATTTTTAGAACATATAATAAGGTGAATATGGGCCCGTTCACCTACCATGTGGACCATTTGTAACTATATGATAGATGCATCTATGGGATGGTCACATGTGCTTTGTTGTTAACTTACAAATTGGTTTTTGTAAGGTTGTTTGCTCGAATTGTTAAATTAAGAGCACAATTTCAAACTATGAAAATACATTGATAATGCTGGTTGGTTTAGCAGAAATTGTATGCCTCCAATTCTAGCTAACCCATGGGTATGAGAACAAAACTCCCAAATAAAATTTGGTATGAGATGAGTTTATTTAACATGTAACAACACATGTATGTATCAAACCAACAAGGTTTCCCTATCATAATTGGTTCAGGGTCAGGAATCAAATAATTTCCATCTAAAGTTTGAATGTGCGATATATGATTTAACCACGCACAAAGATGGATCCCCAAGTGAGGTTGGGGTGAATGTTATATTTTCTAACATTGTGGGGAGAGATGATTGACAACTGAAAATTATGAGATGAATTATCTAGATCCTCGTAAAAAATGTGAACTTGAAGTTCAAGAGATAATTCATTTGCATAATGTTGAAAATTAATTGCCAGATGAATTTGTTGATCCTATGTTATAATTCTGCAAATGCTCCAATGAGAAGTCCTTAAGGGACAAAGTCTATGATATGCATGAAGCGTGATAGACCAATCGATTCCAAATGAAAAATTTCTTAAGGAACTAGAAGAGCAAGATGGTCATGATAATGAGGCAAGTGATTTAAAAGGAGAACGATGACATAACACCTCATAAAAACCTTGACAAAGGTTTAGGTACCTGAAATGATGAAATATGAAGAGATCTTGATAAGCTATGTCGTATTGAAATCGAGTCAAAAGACCGTCAATGATATCTTTGATATGAAGTAGCACTCAATGCTACTGATGATGGCGAGGATCTTGAATTCAAATCAGTCATATAATGTGGATAGGTAAATGATTGGACAAATGAAATGCACAATTCAAGTAAATTATGTTTCACTTTGAAAAGTGATGTTTTGGACTATAGTCCATGGATCAAGATATATGTCAGTGGGGTACAAATAAATTATTGTGCGAAAGTATAACCGTAAGATAAAAAGTACGATTTGTGCCTTGGGGCATAAAGGGTTTTCACAAAATTCCTGACATTATTAAATGGAGATATATTCTCATTTGGTGGATGCAATGAAGCTTGTTATAGTCTGACAATAGATGAAATGCTTGAATATATGTAATGAATGATGGTCATGTCTATCTAGACGATGAAGGTTATATGAAAATCCTTGAAAAATTTAAAAGGTTTTAAAGCAATTACATTGAGTACCCCAATGGCTGTGAGATTGTTTAATATAAAGAAAGATCAATTCTGATCTGATGAAAATGATTAAAAAATATCATGTATCAGTGAAATTGATGCACATACAAATTATTGATTATGCAGATGTCGGGAACTATGTGATTTTTCTTTGAAATGAGATATTTCAGCCACCATGTATGAAGATAATGATGTATACATCAAAGGAGACTGGACAAAGAACATTTCACCAAACTTCTTCTTCACACATGATTTTCAACAAAATGGTGAGATAGAGTTCAAAAGATCTCTTCAAGTGATAATCTTACAGATTTATTCACTAAGGCATTGCCAACGTCAACATTTGAGAAGTTGAGATATAAGATTGGAATGCGTCATCTCTGAGATATCAAGTAAAGCTTTCAGCAGGGGAAGTGAAATACGCGTTGTACTCTTTTCCTTAACCATGGTTTTGTCCCAAATGATTTTTTCTAGTAAGGTTTTTAATGAGGCAGCACTCAAAGTGTATTATGATATGTGTGTACTCTTTTTCCTTCATTAGGCTTTTTCCCACTGGATTTTTCCTAGTAAGGTTTAACAAGGCACATTATCTATGGACATCCAATGGAGAGTGTTATAAATCCATTGAACTAAGTTGATTGTCCATTGAGTTTATCCATAAACTTATACTTATCATCTATGTGTATTCCCTAGGTTCTATGAACCTTTTTGGATAAAAATGTAAATATTTAGTATGATACTTAATATGGTGACTTTTGGAATGATTTCTAAACCTATAAATAGGGTTGTTCATTCACCATTGTAAAATACACACATGAGAGACAAGAAGACATTTGAATAAGATGATCTCTATATTCTACTCCCCATATCTTTTGGCTATGTTATTTGTAGTATATTGCTTATATTTTATAACAAATTCATCAAATTTATTGCTTCTTAGAATATACAATATCTACCATTAACAAGGACTGAGAACATTATATTACCCATCGTGTAATTTCATATTGAACTTAATACTATAATAGTAGGGTCTAGAGTACCGATCTATTGGATAATTGGAAATTGAACTTATTAATATTGGACACATATCATATGGATATGGCTTAATATAAGACATAAGAATTTTGGATTTTCAGCTATCCAAAAATTGTAATACTAAATCTCATATTCAATCCAAAATTCATAAATTTTTTAAAAGTAAAAATTCAAGTTCAATCCATAATCCAAAAATTCAAATCAAATAACTAAAAAGTTTGAATTTCAAGTTGACTAAAACTATGTCCACCCCTAATTTTAGGTGATTTAGTCACCCTTGGTCATGGATGGGTCGAGTCTATGCAACCAACAAATAAAGGTCATATATATAATTAAAATATAATTAAATGTCTTATAAATGTATCGTTAATAGAGGAACAATTTTAAGCATAAAAATAATGTTAAAGGTAAATTTGATCCGATAGATAATAAGGACCATTTTGACTTTTTCTGATTTTCAATTATTTATGAAATTTGTGAAGATAAATTTTCTATATTTAAAAATTTTTAAAGACTCATTTATCAATTTTTATTTGTTCTTGACCACTAGTTTTACAAATGATATATAATCTTCTTTCCCTAAATCTATGAAATGTAAGTTTATTAACTAGGAGCACTACCATAAATTGACAATCTAACAAAACTACATTTACATTTTGTGCCTACATTGGAACAATTTACTTAGATTTAATCATGATAAATTGATATAAGTTGATGTATTTTTCTATAAAAGTAAGTAGCAAATCTAACCTTATTGGATTTTTCCGAGGATTCCCTGATCTATTCATGGAAAGATGTTGACGATTGGAGGCGGATTTTTTAGCAGACATTTCTTGACGGAAGTCTCAACACTTCTAACCTAATTTAATACTGATAAAATTTGATTGACGGCTCAGGACAGAATGTAGATAAATATTTTCCTTTTAAATAAACTATCCAAACCTACCTAATGTGAGGGGATTATAACACTTCTGATCCCAAAGTAATTGGTAAATTCTCTTTTTGGTCCTAATTGTGATATATGACCCAATATATTTATTCTTCAATTAATTTAAATGTGTGTCATTGGTTCCTTTATTTATGTAGAGAACATGGTATATTTAACTATATATGGATTGTAACACCCCGTATTCAAAAACAAACCAACCAGCAGATTTTCAAAAGTTGTAGGTGCAACCCACGGTTGCCACCCACAGACCGTAGGGTTACCCACGGTCCGTTCTGGTAGTCTGTGGTTCACCACATGCAGCCCCTCCCAGAAAAGGACCAGAAAATTATTCTAAGTCCAGACCTACGTCAGGACCTACGGACCGTAGGTCAGACCACGGTTCGTGGTCCAGGGCCGTAGGTCAGACCCTCAGACAAAAGTTTCTAAGGCATGACCCACGGACCGTAGGTCAGGCCACAGACGGTGGTCCTGGTTCGTGGATCGAGGCCCCAAAATCTAGTCCCAGAACCCCATTAACGGTTGACTAGCACGTACCGTGGGTCATTCCACGGACCGTCGATCAGTCCGTCGGTTGGTTCCGAAAACTTTTAAGTCAGGGGTCTTTTGGTCTTTTCCCTATGCGTTGGACCCCTAAACTACGTCGTTTAATCCCTAAACTACGTGGTTTTGGTCAATTTTAGCCTAGTAAATAATTAGAACCTAACCTAATCAATTATTCACCATAACCAAGCGAAACCTAGAGCAAAATAGAGGAGAAAGTCAAGCAGCCCTAGTTCAAGAATGCATCGAGTTTTCATCAGTTCCATCCCTGAAATCAGAAGATTTCTCGATGGAATTCATCATCAGGTATGTGGGATTTCACTAGTGGGTTCCTTTCACCCATTAGGTCCCTAGATTTCAGTCAGAATCTTGATTCCCTTAATATCATCTAGACCTAGGGTTTCTTGAATATTAGAAATTCTTGGGTTTTAGCTGTTAGGATGATCCAAATCAGATTGTCATGATTTTAGTATCGTTTTGTGTAGAGTATTTCATAAATTCAGAACCCTAACTATGTAGTTCTTTTAGTTCATGAATTACACATGCTAGGTTCATTATTTCAGATATACATGCGTCAGATTTGAATGTTTCATTATTAGTACATTAATGTTGCATTTTTAGTTAGCATGTCAGTATTTTGACCTATCCAATATTACATAAATTCAGTCATAAATTGTTAATTACATAATCAATTGGGAGTAGCTTAATACCGAGTGGACTAGGGTCAATCACCCTCAAGTCCCAGAACTACGTGCCCCCGTAGGTTTATAAGTCCCCTTTGTTGGCATTACATTTTAGTGATCACGCCAGTCATGCCTCTATACCTCTAGCATGGTATATTGGGTCTTCTCGATGGGGTGTATACATCGGACTCCACATTTAGCTCATGTGGTTTTATGTCGGTTATTAGTAGCTCCCTTACATTTACAGTTAGATTTCAGTCTCAGCATGTTATAAGCTTGGTCATTGCATTCAGTCATTTCACGTTCAGTATTCTCAATTTAGTATCATGCTTATCTCTTATAATTGCTCAGATATATGCTTTGTTCAGTTATGTTTATTGTTCAGTTTTATTCTATCTTGCATGCTCAGTACCTTTCAAGTACTGACGCATACTCTGCGATACATCTTTTTGTGATGTAGGTTCAGGCCCTCAGCCTCCAGATCACGCATAGATCGGTTCCCGGTCTCCAGTTCAGCAACATCAGAGTCCTCATTTCTCGAGGACGACATACTTGTTTCCTTTGCTTTTAGTTTTAGTTCCAATTGTTGCTTGATTTAGCTAGGGCATGTCCCAGCACTTCTAGTCAGTTAGAGGCTATTTCAGACATAGTTAGTTTCAGTTTTAGTATTTGAGTTTGACTTTTCAGTTGTTGTTAAACTCTCAGTTTTCATATATTCAGACAGTATATGGGTATTCCCCATCTTTTCATTTTATCTCATGTCTTATGCTTCCGCACAGTATTTCTTTTAAGTATGCTTATATATGCCAACAGGGTTAGCTTGGGGTCACTCGTGATCCTAGGTCCCGTATCCGCGTCCTTGGGGTAGCTTCGGGGTGTGACATGGACAATATTATTGTTAAATAAGGTGTAATCATATAAACCTGATAGAATACACAAATAATTAAGTGATAGAGCAATTAATATTAATAATAATAGTATATTTATGAATATTTATAAGTAAAAGGATCAAAAGTGCACAATTCAATTATACATTGAAGGTTAAATTGTGGTTAGTGAAATACCATAGGAACTAAAATCAAAATTTATTAATAATTGAAGGATAAAAAATGCTATTGACCCTAATATGAGAGGTAAGCATTGTATTCTATGTGAAATTTATGAAATGTAAGTTTATTAACTAGGAGCTCTACCACAAATTGATAATTTAACAAAATACTTCATTTACATTTAGTGCCTAAATTGGAACAGTTTACTTTAGATTTAATCATGATAATTTGATATAGGTTGATGCATATTTCTTTTAATGAAAGCAAGTAATAATCTAATCTTTAAGAATTTGTCCAAGCGATTTATCAATAAAAAAAATGTTCGTGATTAACAACGGACTTTTAGCAGAACATCTTTGACAGAAGTTTCAACATTTTTAACCTATTTCATTTATCGATAAAATTCGGCTCCCGGCCCATGACAAAATGTGAATAAATATTTTTCTTTTAAATTAACCATCCAAACCTACCGAATGTGAGGGGATAATAACACACTTAATCCCGACGTAATTGGTAAGTTCTTCTTTTGGTCCTTGTGATATATAACTCAATTTATTTATTCTTCAATCAATTTTGATGTGTGTTATTGGTTCCTCTAGGTAGAAAACATGCTATATTTGACTATATATGGACTATATTATCGCTAAATATGGTGTAACCATATAAACTTGACATAATACATGAGTAATTAGGTGGTGGAATAATTAATAATAGTACATTTGTGAATATTCACAAGTAAAAGGGATTGAATGTGCACAATTCAATTATACATTGACGGTTAAGTGTTCTTAGTGAAATACTATAAAGACTAAAACCAAAATTTACTGATAATTGAGGGACCAAATTAAAATGTTATAAATCATAATGTGAAAGGTAAGATTGTATTTTATGTGAAATTTATCTTATTTAAGATTGTATTTTATGTGAAATTTATCTTATTTTTTAATGTGTAAAACGAAAAACTATTTTCCCCGGCAATCCTCTGATCTATCAATGGAAAGATGTTGACGATCGATCGACGATATCATTTTCAATTAATGGAAATCTCAACATTTCTAACCTAATTCATAATTGATAAAATTTGGCTCCCGGTCCATGACATTATGTGAATAAATATTAGAAAAAAATTATCTAACTACACATCTTTTTTTACCTTATTTTCTATTATACCCTACCATTTCAAAAAATTACAAAAATCTCTCTTTTCTTCAATTTCTCTCACTTTTCCAGATACATCACTCTAAACAATCACCCTCACGATTTTTTTCCCTTTTTTCACGCCTAAAATCACTTCATGGTATCACCAACTATCTCCATCACTCCATTTTTGAATTCCAAATCTTTTCTTTTTTTCTTTTCCAGTTCATCAATTGCAAGTTGTTGAAGAGGTAGTTCTTCTCCATCTATTTATTTTTTCTTTCCAGTTCATCAATTATCGATTTTTTTCATCTATAAATTTATGATATATATATGGATGATAGGTATGTACGGGCGATCTTCAGAAAGCATTATCGAACAACACGAAGCAAAAGGACGGAAGAGAAGAGGTGAATCGGTTGTTGTCATACAGCGACGGAAAGTTACTGCTTAATTGCATAAAGTGAATAATAAACACAAGAAGTAGATACGAAAAATGTATTTTGAACTCCGAAATGCAAAGAATGCAACGACGTATAATTAAGGAAAAGGAAAAACAAATAACTGTGGAAAAACCCTCAAAAATTAAGGGAATAAAGATCGAGTTGTTGATGGCTCTAGTAAGAGCTTTGGGTCGAGATCCATGAGTGACGCCATTGTAGAAAGTGAAAAAAAGCTACAGGAGTTGATTGATAGAGAGCAAAGGAGAAAGTGTAGAAGGATTTCTTCATCACTTTTTTTTTTGCTTTCAACAGATCAAATTATTGATTTTTTTCAATTTTTTGTTGTTTATCTTTTTCTGATACATATGGGTTCTAGTCTATCGTTTAATATTGGTCTTACCCAATTAGTTTCACAAACGGAAGATCTCGTCCTTCGCGTTTGTGATTCAAAATCGATGAAAGATGCATTGCAAGTTCTAAATTACCCATTGAGAAAGATTCCAAAAAAAAAGGGGGAAGTAGAATAGGTTACTAAACACTCTTCTCTACCCAAGCTTCATATTTCAATGTATCTAATTGATTTTGATTCATAATTTAATATATAATGCCTTAGTTTCAACACCCTTCTCTACCCAAGATTCAGATTTTTTATGTATCTAGTTGATTTTGATTCATAATTTAATGTATAATGCCTTCGTTCCAATACCCTTCTCTACCCAAGGTTCGGATTTTTAATGTATCTAGTTGATTTTGATTCATAAATTTATGTATAATGCCTTCGTTTCAACTTTATGATACATTAAATTAGCCTTTGTTAGTGATATCACAGATCTGATACATCACTGCTACAATAGCTTTCGTTGTTATGCAATGTATCATGTTAATATTTACGATATTGATACAGAACCCTAATTTTGTTGAATCTTCGATTAGTGTTTATCATGTTCAATATAAATGTACTTGATACATAAACACTACCGAATGTATCATTTATATGTATCAAGTTCTATGATGTATCTATTTGTGTGTTGTGTTGTGAAGAGAGACAGTTTTAGATCTTTTCTCAAGATTCAGGAAACCACAATGGCTCATGCAAACTCCAAGTTTCTCAAATCAGCATTGATATAATGGTACATATATCCACACATAACACAACCCCTGGTTCCCAACTCTTTCAGCATTTTGGGAGCTTTTTTACGTTTGATTTTCTGTGATTATAAGCAGATAGAAATGATCACCAAAGCCCTCCTAAAGCTCGATGCTTTACCCTGATTTTATGCTAGGCAGCAAGTTTAATGATGAAAAAACAATAAAGTATTGTGAACAAATTTTGCCTTAGAAAGAAGCTGCAGAGAACTGTCTGTAATACAGTCATACTACTACAAAGCTATAACCATACATTGGCTATAAGCTTGACCATTTTCTGTTTTCTCATACGGAGGAAAAAGTCACGGAATGTTTAAGATGCTTTCAAGCATTATGTCTATTCATTATAGCAAAACAGCAGATATTGAACAAAGGGTGCCCATAAGAAGAGAGAGCTTGAGTACTTAAGAATGCAGATTTCAATCTTCCTCCAAAACTATAGCAGAGGACAAGCTCCTTTTCCCAACTCCGCTCAAGTTGGTTATTTCCCAACCTGTGCCTTCCTTGTAACGTTCAATCTGCAATCACAAAGAGGAGTATTGATCAATGGAAGCAACGCATAGCAAGACAATGAAATATATAATCTTATGTACCGTGTCTAGTACTTCATTATCAGATTGAGCCCCTCCAATGACATAAATGGACTCCTTTAGAGCAGCAGCAGCTACATAACCCCTTGAGTAGTTCATTGGTTCCCCAATCATCCATGTTCCCTGACAGTGATCATATATCTCAACGCTTGGCATCATTTGAGACCCATCAGAGCCACCAAGTGCATATCTAAAGAGCAACCATGAAGCTAAAAGTGAATAACAAGAAGAAAAATGGGACCAAAGATATAGAATGCAAAGAAGCGAGAAGAGGTCAACATACAACTTTCCCCCCAAAGGAACCAACACATGATATGCTCTTTTTGTTCTCATACTCTCAATTTTTGTCCAAGCATGTTCTCTGGGGTCAAAACCTTTCAGCAGTCCTGAGGTGATAGCTAATAAGAAAGATGCTACAGGAGAACACAGAAGAAAACTTAAAAACAAGACTCAACTACTTTCACATGTGAAGATAATCTTCCGATTCAATGAAATAAAAGAAGTTGCAGATTTCTATCAGAACAACTTTAGCACTAAAAAGGACTGTGGTTTGGAAAACTACAAGCAACTCTCATTTCTCAGGTAATGAAGCCCAAATGTCAAGCTCCTTTGGGGCATACATTATAAAGAAATAAGAAAACAGCAATTCAGCATTAACTTACGCCAAATATTTGTCTCCATCAAATCCACCAACAGCATATAATGCATTGAGTTCTGTTGCTGCAAGAGAAAATCGCTGCATGAATGGTAGACAATCATGTCAGAGGAGATTATATTAGCACTTTGAACAAGTAAGTCTAAAGAATAGAACCAAATTAAAGCCTGGACTGTAGGCAAGGACAAGAAAGAGACAAATATTGTCTTTGTTTGCTAGAAATATAAGCAAGGAATAGAATTAACCTTCTGCAACATGGATCGTGAAGGAATCCATCAACCTACTTGAGGATCATACATTTCAACTTCTGCAAAGTATTCAGTCCCATTTCCACCACCCATTGCAAACATCGTGTCCTTCAAAGTAGCTCCAGATAAGTTACTGATTCTCTTTTTCAAATGAGAATGCACAGTCCACATATCACTTGCTGGGTTATATGATTCAACTTCACAAGAATAGAGTGGCATCAGTGTCAGCAACTTAAGAGAAAGGGGAAGGAGGGTATGAGAAGGGAGGGACTACTGGCATTA